CCCCCCCTGAGGCTGCTGCTGCCGTGCTGTCGCCACACGAAGAACCGCGGTGTCTCACGTGCCAGAGTCATCAGAGTTTTCGGGCGGCACTCGTTGTCGCAGGGCACCCCGTCCAGGCCCACCAACCACTGGTCAAGCCCGGTACTTTTTTTTTCCCCGACCGACTGGTGGCCCCTGCTGCCTCTGCTTATGGTGCCGGCACTCTCGACAATTACCCGCTGGAATCCTGCATGCCCTAGGTGGTCGAGCGTGCGAGGGGCGAAGCGGAGGAGTCTCGAGGGCAGATGCAGGCGACTTGCTACGCGATCAGGTTCGCCGGCAACGTCATTGGATGCTTGGGGGGCGCCTTGCTTTTCAACAAGGGGGTCTGGGGCTGGGGCCTCACTTTTAGGCAGGTGTGTACGCGCACGCCATGGCTACTTCATGTCTGTCTCTAATATCGGAAGCATGGCCCTCGAATCCTTGCGGCGGAACCGTTTGTGGTCCACTGGTTCGTCACGCTGAATTGTGCGGCGAGTTAGTTGTGTCGCCATTCCCCAATTTGTTGAGTTGCTGCTGTCGTTTCGGGTTATGCGTCAGCGTGAGTCGTGACCAAGCTCAGGCAACAGCGGTGCGCACTCCGGTTCAACTCTGCGAAGTTTATTTTATGTCGGGCGCACGGGTTAGGTTTGTTTTGAGAGCGTTGTGATTGTTCGTCGTTCAGGACGTCCAGGCTATTCGTGATTTCTCCGATACGTTTATCCCCGTCACGTTTTCGACTACGCGGTAAGCACCCCCTCTAGTGCCGCTGGCGGAGGACGCTACAGCGAAGTTCGTGTCCGATCGGCATGGTGATCATTTCTGGTCTTCCCATGCTCGAAGCTGCTATTCAATCATCTGTTTAAACCTCCTGTCTCACTTGATTTGTCTTCGCGGCTCGTCATATCAAACGTCACCAGGTTTGCCTCATCATGAGCATGATGCCCGTGCTCGTGCTGGGACCCGCCTTGGTTTATCTGTGGGAGGAACGAAGCAAGGAGACCAAGGGCGTGAAGAATCAGGCGAGCGGGCCGTGCAACACGCCTGCCAGTTTTCGTGCTCGGCTCAACAGACACTGCCCCATGCATTAATGAACAATCTCCGCAAGGTTGTGGTAGTTCGTAAGCAGATATCTGGTTGTGCCACTTGTCGCCTGTGTTGCATATTTTCCAGCCTGGCGGGTGATTGTGTTTGGTGTGGTCTTGCTGGTAGTCGTCGGCAATTATCGTGTTGTGTTGAAAATTGGCCCACGTATGAAGAAATAGAGTATCGTGTTACGAACCCCCATCGCACACCGTGTGACAAGGCTTTCAAAGAGCAAGCGCAGGGAAGACAGCCTCAATACACCACCAGGAAACAGCCGGAAGGGTACGAGCGAGGGCATGAGCACGGAGAGCAACCGATATCGGCCAGCGAAACGAGAGGAATACTGCTGTCCCAAGCACAAGAGCTAGGGTGTGTCTTGGAGGCGTACTCGCAGCTCACAGCTTCAACGTACCACGACATAGGAAGAAGCCTGAGGCGCTGCTGCTAGGCTGAACAGGGCGGTGTGCCCCCTTGTCTTCACTGGACCATTCCTCTCCGCCCAATTTTACTCGTCCGCTGCTTGCCTGTTCGCGCTGTCATTATCGTAACTGTCACTCCCTGACGGCATCGGCTGGTCCATCTTTTGTCGTCATGATGCTTTATCGACGTTCCACCAGGTTAGAGACATTTGGGACACCATCCAGCTGCAGGCGGTGTGGAGACCCATGGCGTTCGTGTACATCTTCAACATATTCCAAGGTGTGCATGTGCGGGTGGAAGAGGAATGAACGGATGCTCACAAAACACTAACTTCACGGCTACGTGCGGTATTCGGAGCAGGGGGGGACCACAAGTCGAGTCCTTTGTTGCTCGCATTTCCAAGTGAAGGGAGTGTTCTGGGTTGACGTTAACGTTATGTCACCCTTTCGTCGATCGACGCTTGTGCCCGATGAATACACCAACGGCAAGGAGGCCCAACAGTATGACGATGCTTGTCGTGGCGCGATGCGTGTTGACAACGACTTGCGCAGCAAATTTGATGGTTTCCGCGTTAACGAGTCAAGCGTCCAAACGCAACACGTCCAATTGCCGTTACATGTCGACGATGCCGCCGCACGAATTTTTTTATGTTTTCAGTACTTTTCCAAACCCGCTGGCACGCCAATCCACCCTCTCCCCCCCCCCGCCCGTCCTCACCACTCGAACGCTTCCATGCCTCGTTTCCCGTTCCTCTATTCGAAATATATCTTGCAGTTCCCAACATCGCGTGGCAGAGCTACCTCCAGCTGTCTCTCCACTTCGAGCCGTACATGCTGGGCTTCATGGCGGCGGCGGGGTCTGTCATGACCTGCCTGGGCGTCACGGCATACAAGAACTATTTCTTTCACGTCTCGTGGCGGTAAGTATCGACAGGAAGGAGGGGGTCTTCGCGTGTGTCGTCGTCATTGTTGTTGCCGAAAGAAAAACAAAAATCACGTGTCCTCCAGGTCTGTTGTGTGACGGGTGTTGGGCCTCCACTTTGCATTTTGCCGAGATTGGCGGCGGCGTGTTGTGCAGTTTTCGTCGCTGGCGCCACCTCTCTTGTCGAAAGCGGCCAGGGTGTTTGAACGCCCTTCGATAGATTGCATCCTGCATTCTCTTGGCGACGAGTTTGGGGGGGGGGGGGGTTGGTGTTCGTGTGCTTGTAAATTGGGTCCGAAAACACGGCGTCTTGAGGGCGTGGTCTCACGTCATGGGGAAGTTCATGGATGATGGGCCAAGGCTGACTCTTTGTGCAGGGCTCTGGCGATATTGCTGTCGTAGACCGTTCCGAGTTCCGGCAGATGCCGAGCGAGGACTGGAGTTTGTCAGATTTGTCGATTCATCAAGGTAGAAAAGGTCCAGTTACGGTTTGCCTACCCTGCGCGGGCGTTGAAGGCAGCATTGCTAATAATCTGTGGGGCAAACCAGTTCTGGTTGATGAGTTTGAGTCACGTTTCATTCCTACTAGTCCTCAGAGACTCGTATCGCACGATAGGTCAAGCCAAACCTTTGACATGCATGGCGAAACGCACAAGATACCACTATGAGAAGTTACAAGGCATGCCCCGTCTTCGACTGAAACGCAGGCTGATTTACGGATGGAGCGTGGTCGTCACGACAGTATTTTCAGCCCTGCAGCTAGTGCTGATCTTCGGCCTGAACCGGCGAATAGGGCTGCCCGACTTCTGGTGAGTGTGCTCCTGGCCACTGCTGCGGAACCTGCGGGAGGGGGCTCGAGGAACGAACCGCCTTCGCGAGAAATTAAGTTTTTTGGCGAAATAGAATAGTTTAGGGGTACGCAGACCCTATCCTTCACCCCAACCCTCACCCAGCTTCCCCGATTACGTGCTATTATCCAACATGTATACTTAATATAAAAGCCCTCCGCGGGCTGCTGCGAGGAACGCGAAGTCCCGACTCTTTTGAAGCAAGGGTGGTTGTGAGCGACCTTGGGGCAGCGACTCGCCCTGCAGGCTGCCGGCTACAGTGGTAGCGATGCAACAGGCCGAGGTGTATAATTTCGTTGCGTTTTGCCTCTGGACTCGTTCTTGAGCTTGCGCCTCCCCGCTGCTATGTGATGCGCCGCGCTCAAGGTTCGCTCTGGGCGACGATGTCATTACGCAGTACATTCAGGGGATCCAGTTCTTACCCGTTTGCATCATGGTGAGGATGGAGCAAGAAACAGGGCGGTGCTAGTCGATGAACTATTGGTGTGTCGTGTGGCGAGATGGGAGTGACGGGTTTCGAGCACTGCTGATTGGTCTATCGTCGTTATCGCCACATTGTCGTATGAGGGACGAGGGCGACAGACTGCTTTTTGTTTTGGGTGGTGCCGAGGTGCAGTGCTCGCCACGAGAACAAATATTTTTCCTTCTGTTGTTGTCGTGACCCATGGTCAAGTTTGCGGACAATCTTCGACGAGGAAAGAAACAGACGCAAGTAGTTGGGTCATTACACGCGATCACCCGCTCACTATCCCACGGAATCGTCCACCGTGGACCTGTGTCGCCTCCACCTATCTCAGTGAAGACGATCCTTGCATCACGACACCAGTGCTTGAGAGTTGCTTCTCGTGCTTCTAGAAGGACCCACCCCCCCAATTTTCCCATCCCCCGTCGCCCCCTGCATGGCCGCTTTCCGCTATCGCGTACACCCCCGCACCGCATATTTGGGGAACTTGGTCGGCGCTGGCAGTACCTGCGAATGTGTCCAAACGGATCCGAAGGTGCAACGTACGCCGCGCTCACCACCTTCGGGAATATTGCGCTGAACTGTGCGGGTAGCCTGGGGACCCTCTTTGCGAAGGTGTGTTCGTATGGTGAGGATGCCAAGGAGTGGCGATGACTATTGTGTCAGGGGATGTGTGAGAGAGAGAGAGAGCAAGAGTCCAGCGCGGAGGGTGGCCACCCTCAATGTCTGTCATGTGCGGAAGTGCACGATGAGTCGTCGTGCCGTCCAGTTTGGTATCACCACGAGACTACAAGCACGCTCCCCTTTTTGCTTACACGGATATAGTTTTTCCCAACGCTCCGCCACCCAATGTGCCGCCACTGCGCTTCTTGGTACGGATTCGCACCCCGTCTTGTCATTGTACCCAACTAATGCGTCCTTGCCGCCGGTGGGTCCGGTCGGTGACTGCGGCGGCTGGCTATTTAGCTGTGGGACGTTGGGAACGACACGCTGCGAAATGAAGACGTGTCCGGGCTGTGGAAACTCACGGTGCTCACTAGCTTGGTGAGTTGGTCTCCGTGGGTGACGAGAGCGGATGGAGGTCTCGTTTTTGTTTTCGTTCCGGCTTCGAGTTTTTTTCTCCGAGTGCACAGAGAATCTTTCGGCGTATGCGGTGTCTCAGTGCCCCCCTTCCCTTTTCGTGTGTTGAAAGCTGATCGCTTGTTCCCAACGCCTGAAAACCAACATCAAGATCCAGGCGTGCTTCGCCTATCCCGCGACACCCTTCGCAATCGTACCCAGTTGGGTGTGCGAACATATGTATCACTTGCGTCTGCTGTCTCCTCCTTTTTTTTCGATCGTGCGGATGAGCGCAGATCTCGCCGATACCGTTGGCGCTGCTCAGACTTCTCCCGGCAAGCGCGGCCGAGCAGGAGGCGTTGCGGGCGGACACGAAGCGCTCCATGAGGGGCGGCGCCGCGTTTGTGTCTGTGCTGGTGGGCTCTCTCGCATGGACCCTTGCAGAGGCTGTGTACGTCTTGAGCTCCGACGCCGATGAAACCGGTTGAGTTTTACCAGGGGGCGACACCCTCCGTGACTTAGTGTTAGTCTCGAGTTCCACCACTCCTTTTTTTTTCTTCCATGGTTGCGGTGCGAACACGTCTCTGCGAAATGACGCTGTCCGTGTGGACCTTGCGGACTTCTGTCCGAGTGGCGCTGTGTTGAGAGACTTGCCTCGCTGCTGTGGACACTCTCGCGGGGTTGTGTTTCTAGCGCCGTTTTGCGTGTTGCCAGATATACATCTTGGATCGGACCAACTCGGTGCTTCTTACCTATAATGTAGATATGTGCAGTTGAAGCGTTGTTTTGGCAGGCATCAAGGCATGTTGACAGACCTGTGGACAACCTTCATTGACCTACTGTAGGTTAGCATGGCTCGGAGGCTCGGGGAAGAGGTTGGAAACACGATGATTTGTTTGGCGTTGGCTTGGTTTACAATTGTCCGCGTACCGGCAAGATTGGTTTCGGGTGTTTCTCTTCATGACAGCATGGTTCGTATTTTGGCAGCATTTAGGTCACGAATGATGAGACATGGACGACACTCTTGGAGAGCTTCTTTGAAGAAGTTGCAACAGTGAAGTGACACGGAGAACTCGTGCGTGTGCCTACGTTCCACGGTGGATCGAGTTGCTTGTGTTGGGCGTGTGTGTCAACGTACACCGCCGCAACATCAACTCATTCGAGCAGAAGACGACGTTCCCAACGGATTGTTCGGTCATGAACGGATGCCCGGTGATCCAATCCCGGTGCAAGCCTACTGCTGTAGCAGAACACCTGCCCATCTTTACGTATCGGGCGATGCGCAGTAAGGGCGTCCCGCCCATGTCATCAAGCCTTTCAAATAGCCTGGAACTCCATGTCTCCAGTCTCACTACCGTACACTCACCATGACATCTGCTCTCGCTTGCTCCCCTTGATTACAACACTCAAAAAGAAATCGACCCAAATACTCCCATATTTTTTGGTTGATGAGAGAGCTCAGCCGTGTCACGGAGTTTTAGGCTAGTGCTCAGGTATGCATACCAACTGCCTAAAGTTAAAAACAAATCACCTGAGGCCACTGTTTCAGTGCTGGTTGCATCCCTTTAATTTTGAGTTGAATGCCGTTGCACGTTGTGTTCGATTATGACCCATTTCACGATCACGCACTGCACGGCGGGGGAGATTACCACTCACGTTGTTTTTTCCTCGGAACTTTCACGGTGTCGAAGGTAACTTTGCCGACAAAAACGACCATTGCTATGTCGCTACACAGCAAACTGCCGCAAGGCTCTTATAACGTTCGTCTGGCACGCGTCTCTTCGTGAACAGATGCGACACGTTCATACCTGATACTGCTGTACACGATCACTGTGTAATTTGGTCGGGGTGTGGATTCGGTTTGTCACATCCGTCGACGACGACATAGACACCCATAACACATACGTACACTGCAGTGAACAGGGG